CAGAAGGGCTGGAGGCACCAGCAGCCCCCTCAGCGTGTAGTGGAGGCATAGGTCTTGAAGGGATTCTACACACCCGCTCTGTGTCCGACTGGCTGGAGACCAGGACTCCCAGAAGCCAAAGGCTGACACCCCAGGGGGCAGGTTGGAACTCAGAGACCACACAATTCTAGAACGTCACTGAACCTAACTCGTCCTGGCACAGATGGGTGCTGAGACCCAGGAAAGGGAGGCGTGGCATTTCTCCGTTCCGATAACTGTGGCCAGCTTGGACACCCAGTGTCTCCGCCCCTAAACCACTGAGTTCCTCTATGTGAATGGGCAATGGGAGAATGAAAGTCAGGCTACCAAAGCCACGCGTGGTGGCACGCCTGCAATCCCAACACTGAGGAGGCTGAGGCAGGAAGGTTGCAAATTCGAGGCCCGATGGGGCTACATAGTAATACCCTGTCTCAGGGGAAAAAAAAAAGAATTTCATTCCTGGTATTCCCTCTGAGGATACCAAAATCACAGCTGCTCTTCAGCTCTTGAGTACTTACAATACCTCAAGTAATGTAAATGCCTTGTAAATAGTGACAAGAAAAAAAGCCCCTACGTGTGTGTGTGTGTGTGTGTGTGTGTGTGTATATATATATATATTTTTTTTTTTCTGAGCCAGGCATGGTGGTGCATGCCTATAACCCTGGCACTCTGGAGGCCAAGGCAGGAGGATCTTGAGTTCAAGGTCATCCTGGCTTACATAGTAAAACCTTGCCTCAAAAACCAAAACACAACGACAGCAAAAAAACCCTTTCTTTTTCTTTCAGGCAGGGCATGGTGGGGTGCATCTGTAGTCCCAGCTACTTGGGAGGCTGAGACAGGAGAATCTCTTGAGCACAGCAGTTCAGTGCCAGCCTAGGCAACACAGTAAGACCCTGTCTCTTAAAAAAACAAAACAAAACATGCACACACACACACAAACCCACTATTTCTGTGGTTAGTTGAATCCACAGACAGAGAGCCCATAGATAATGAGGGGCTGACTACACTTAGCTGGGCAATGGACAACTGGCTTAGAGGCAGATTCACACGGCATCCTTACAAGTATGTGAAGTGGATGTATTGTTCGGCCCATTTTCCAGATCAGGAAAGATCATGAGGTGAGCAGTGACTGTGTGGGGTTGCAGGCTAATGACGGCCTACGTTTGAACTCGATCGTCTGGCTCTGACCCCTTTCCCCTGCCACCCTTCCTGTATGTACTGTCTGAGCCTGCAGAGGTGGATAGAGGGCTGCCTCTGGGCTGGTCCTGGGAGGGCCACTTCTAGAAGAATTGCTGGAAGCAGGCTTTCTATAAGTGGCTACTAGTGCTCGGGACCTCCTCACCGAAATCCCCCCTTCCCACCGCCAACCTCTGCCCCAACAATGGCATTTGTGGGACACTGGCACAAAAATAGGAACACGTCTCCCGCCCACCGCTCAGGGAGGGGCCGGGGCAGACCCAGGCTGGCCAGGCTGGGAGCAAAGGGCCTGCTAGTCTGCCCGCCCTGGCTGGGCCCCAGGATGCACAGGAGCCCATGCAGGGGGCTAGGAGCTGGGCCGGGGCGGGCAGGCCCCTGGCTCTGCCTTTGGGGTAGGGAAGTGAGCACGTGTGAGTAACCCCTGGTGAGTCAGGGCTGCGGGACAGATTTGGCTGCTGTGGAAACCCCACTGGCTGGCCCTCAGCTAGGCCTGAGTGCTCAGAGACCCCAAGAGCCCTGCTTTCCAGCCCCCCAAGTTTCCAAACTGCTCACATTTTATGTGACCCTGGCCAGTTGGGACTCAGAGTTCCCCTCCACCAGTCCCCAACTCTACAGGGAAGGAGTTGGTGACAATGGAGAGTTGGGTTTGGTGTATGAGCTGAGAGTGGTGACAAGCATAAAGATCCAGCCTCCTGACCCCCTGACCCCAGGATGACCTGGCTCTGACCTTCACTTCCCTTTCTTCACTTCCTTTATCCAAAGCCCCAACTGTTACTGGTTTCCAGCCCTGTCCTAACCCCATTTCACAGATGAGGAAACTGAGGCAGGCTAAGTGGTAGACCATTTGCCAGCATACAAAAGATGCTGGGTTCCAGGGTCGTGATTCAAGAGGTAAAGCGCTTGCCTAGCAAGCTCAAGGCTCTAGGTTGAAACCCAAATTCTACCAAAAAAAAAATGAAGAAAAGACACACTGAGTTCCTTCCCCAGCACCACAATAAACAAACAAAAACAAGATGAATGTGAAAGTGTACACACACAATTTGAAATGGATCTTATCATTCTACTATAAATTAGCTTTAAGAATAATAACCTAAAGAACACACTAAAATGAAAAAAATGTTTGTGGAACATGGAAAAATTAAGTGGTGTCATTCGCTCCTTTGTGTGTTGCTGTTTTAAACAGCACACTTGCACACACGGTAATTCCCGTGTCATTAGTGAGTAATGGAAATATTTCTGAGCAGATTTTTCCAGGGGCTGAAAAACTGTCTCAGGCGTTGTGACATCAGTTGGGGAAATGCAAGGAGATGATTAGAGGCTGAATCCAAAAACTTTCCACTGGGGCATCCATCGTGAGCAGTCTTGTCTCTTTCTACAGGGACAAGAGGCTGCATGCTTTTGTCTGAGAGTCACTGGGCTGGCGCCTGTTTCAGAAAAGTATTTCCTCTTGTCTTTTTTTTTTTTTTTTTTTTTGGTGGGACTGAGGTTTGAACTCAGGGCTTCACACTTACAGAGCAGGCACTTTACCACTTGAGCCACACCTCTGGTCCATTTTGCTCTGGCTATTTTGGAGATGGGGTCTTGAGAATTATTTGCCTGGGCTGGCCTCGAACCATGATCCTCCTGATCTCAACCTTCCAAGAAGCTATGATTATAGACATGTGTCACGAGTGCCCATCTCCTTTTGTCTTTCTTTGGTGGGAAGGTGTGGGGTGGTGCAGGGCATCTGAGGTACTGAGCTGGATCCTGCTCAGAAAGTGTTGGGGCACAGCAGGGACCATTCTTGTGACAGCGTTGCCCTGTGAGTCGCTGGGTTTTTTGCTTCTTGGAAATAAGATGGCAGAAGAGGATGGTGGTTATGAGCAGAGGCCAGCTTCCTGCTTACTTGCTGTGATCGTGGGCAAGTGACCTGGCCTCTCCGTGCCTCAGCTTCCTCATCTGTACGTGAGAATAATAATGGTACCTAAATCTAGGATGGCTTCAAGGACTAAGTGAGTTAATGTGCAGAGCACCTAGAATAATCCTGGCACATAGCAAGCCTCGTGTAAGTGTTGGGTATTATTATGGTTGTTCTTATCAAACGTTCTAATCGCACACACTGTTCATCAAACATTTTAATGCATGCTGGAGGTGTAGCTCAATAGTCAACTGTGTGCCTAGCATTCATGAGGTCCTGAGTTTCAATCACCAGCACCAAAAGAAAAATAAATTAGCCAGCAGAGATCAGGAGGATGGCAGTTCAAAGCCATTTGTGCCAGGACAAATAGTTCAGGAGACCCCATCTTGAAAAAAAAAATCACAAAATAAGGCTGGCAGGGTGACTCAAGTGATAGAGTGCCTGCCTAGCAGCCCTGAGTTCAAACCCCAGTACTGCCAAAAACCAAAAATTACTTAATTGCATCAGGTGTATCCCAAGACATAAGTGAATCCAGTTTTGATTTTTGGGGGGGAGTCAGTGCTGGGGATTGAACCTAAGACCTTGTGTCTACTAAACAGTACTGTACCGCTGAGCTGCGCCCCCAGCCCTTAGGAGAACAACTGTGAAGCCTTCTGTGGGCTGGAAGCAAGGTGGTCTCCCAAGGACAACCAGAGAAGGATTGGGGACAATGAGGGAAGGGTCACTGCGTCCATGCACGGGGCCCTCTAAGTCACATAGAGAGATGCTCATAGGCTCGGTACACAGCAGGTGTACAATAGAAATAATAAATCTTGCCGGGTCTGATGACTCATACCTGGAATCCCAGGAAATGGGGTCCCAGAAAAAAGAAGGAAGATCTTGATTGACTTGGATGTTCAGGCTTGTTTCAATTGATCTTTCTCTTTTTGGTTGGCTGGTTTGTTTACGTTCAACACCTATTTTCTGGGTAAGTCTAGAGGGCCAGGCACTGCTCTGCACACAGGCACCCAAGGGCGATGAAGCCAAGAGGAAAAGCAGACTGGGAGCCAACAGTAACCAAGTCACCCCTGCCCATCTGGCTGATCCCACTTGTGCAAGTCTGACTGGTGTGTGTGTCTCCCTGTCCCTTCCCCAGGAGGTGTCACAGCTGGAGCTGACGCTGCAGGCATCCAAGCAAAATGACACCCAGCCCCAAGAGGTGCTCCTGGTTCTCGTCGTGAACAAGAATGTCTTTGTGCAGCTGCAGGCCCTGGGAATCTCATTGCAGTTGGCCTGCGTGAGTGTTACCCTGACTCAGGACAAGACACTGGTCACAGGAGGCCCCTGCTGGTCACCTCTGTGGGTCATGGCCTCCTGCCCCAGTGGCCTTGCTTCTTTTCATTCCAACATGATTCACCAGGGCCCTGAGTGAATCACCAGAGGGTAACAGGATCTGGGACAAAAGAGTCCACACCAGGAGATGGTAGTCAGGTTGATATGCAACCAGGCCAATTCTGATCCTTTGTGCAGCCTCAGTTTTCCCATATGTTTAGTGGGACAATTGTACTCACTGATATTCCATCAAATAATCTTTTCATTGTCTTTGAAAAAGATACAAAGCATATAATCTGAAATAATATAGCTAAAGAGGGAAAGGACCAGGAGAGTACCTCAGGATGTGTTCACAGTGGTTAGGGCTGGGAGGGGAAATGAGGAGAGACATTTGTTTTGCTCTTTATCCTTTCCTTGAAAGTTTAAGTGTTAGACACATCTATCAGAGAGAAGGAGCCCACTGGCTTTGTCCTACCCAGGGCAGGAATGGAGGAGACAGGGTGTCCTGTCGGCCCCTATCTTTTTAACATGGAAGGTGGGCCCTAGGAGGTGACCCCAGATGGGAGCAGCTGTGGTTTACAGGCCAGAGGGAAGAGAGCCAGGATCTAGGTGGAGAGCAAACAACCAGGAGGACAGACAGAAAGAAATGCGGAGACTAAACAAGAGAGGGCCTGCTATGGGATGGAAAAACTGGACACCAAGCAGCTCAGGGAAGGATACCCACAGAGACAGATGGGAATGGGACAGACCGGGGGGCCCAGGAGGACTGGGATACAGGCCAAAACAGAGATGTTGGGAGCAGGCAGCAGAGTGAAGAATCTAGACAGAATGAGCGGCAGGGACAGCCCAGAAACAGACAGCTGGACGAGTCTGAGAGAACGTGGAAAAACCCCTCGTGAGAGGGAGCAGGACAAGTCCAATCATGGGGGCTGAGCTGGACCCACCCCACTGGACCATCGCTTGGTGCCTAGAGGGGACATCTAGGCCTGGGGAGGGCAGGGATTTGCCATAGTTCCTTTCCCTCCTTTGCCCCCTTCCCAGGGTGGATGGGTGTGAGTCCCCAGAATCCAGAGTGACTCAGGAACCTGAAAAGCTGGCAGGACCTCCTTCCCAGGGTTAACAATGCAGGGTGGTGGGAACCTCGGTGCTGCCCGATGGGACAGAGGCAGGGCACAGGCCTCAGTGTCAGACTCTGCACCAGGCGACTGACAGGCTTCGTGCTCCTTAATCCCTGCTGTAGATCCATTATATTGATGGTCCCTCTCCCATTCCATTGTCCCAGCTGTCCCCTCCCAAGGCAGCTGGGTCATCCTTCACGTGCTTATCGATTTGCCCCTTGTTAATTTCTGCAGAGAAGGTAGTGTGTTTGGATCTTGGGAGACCATTCTGTAGTGCCTACTGTTACTGTCAGGCAGTCCTCCTTAATATCTAGCCCAGAGTCCCATTCTTCTCCCTTCCTCCCTGCCCATGTACAGGGGGCACCCACCAGATGCCAGGGTGAAGCTGGCATGTCAGGATCCCTGACATTGAGTCCAGGGCCCAGCACAAAGTCAGACAGACCCTCAGAATGTGGAGGGAGACAGACGGTAGCTGTGTCATACCATTAAATGTGAGTTAAGCTAGTACACCAAGGCCTTGGGACCGGAGGATGTGTGTCTGTACACCCCCCATGTGTGGAAGGAAGACAGGGCAGATGTGGCCGGGGTGGAGGAGATAGATGGGGGGATCTGGGCCCAACTTCAACATTCTCAGCCCTGGCCTCTTCCCAGCCAGTGGGCTGACTCCCCAAATGACTTCCTGCATGTGACAGAAGGGACTCAGCACTCTTTTGTCTTCAGAACCCCAGCCTGGTCATCTTCCAAGAGCCCTCAGCACTCAACATCACTCAGCTGCCTCCCTTTACCACCACGAGCCAGATGCTTGACTGGGCGGCTACGAAGGGCCCTATCTTTTCAGTGGCGACACTGGATGACCCCAGCAGCATCCTCCTCCGGCTGGGCCAAGGTCAGCTTCCCCAACTACTTCTCTAGGCTCAGGTCCAGCTCTGGAGGAATAGCAGCTCCTCTGGTCCATTGCTGTGGCTCTGGCTGGATGGGTCCATGGTGGGATGTGACACAAGTCAGTCCCATTTGGGGACAGTGACCACAGCTTCACCCAGCAGTGAAACGCCAGATTTTTTTAACCCAACCCCACCAACACCTTCATATTATTCACTGTGTATCTAGGACTGGGGATGTAGCTTGAGTGGCAGAGCGCCTGCCTAACAAGCACCACTCCCTGAGTTCAAAACCCAGCACTGTCGAAAATGATGTTAAAAAAAAAAAAAAAAGCAAGGGGTGGGGGGAGGTGGACAGTGTGACAAGGTCTGTGCAAGGCACTTGGGTACTCTGTGGGCACAGACCCAGGCCCTCTCCTCCTGGCGCTGACACTGTTATGGGGGAGGTGTCAATAAACACATACACGGATGGATGCTATAATTTCAGGTTTTGGTAAAGGCTGTAAGAAGCATTAAAGTACAGTGATGTAGGCTGGAGATGTGGCTTAGTGGTGGAGCACTTGCCTAGCAAGCACAAGGCAGGTAGTTCAATCCCACCACCACCCAAGGAGGGAACAGAATGATGTGCTGGGTGGTTGCAGGGCTGCATCCCTACCATGGGCCACGGGCTTGTAATATTCTTTATATTATGTTGACAGATGAGGAAACAGAGGACCAGGGCCTTGCACAGGGTCACTCTGCAGGTAAGTAGAGCAGAGGTTTGAACCCAGGTCCTCCGATGCTCCTCTGAGGCTTGATCCAGCATGGCCCGGCCTGCCTTTGGCTGTGGGGTGGGGAGGGGTTCTGAGTTACACGCGGGGCAGCTCCGAGAGGGACTGAGGTGCACCTGTCCCCGCAGCCCCGAAGCCACCGTCCTTCTGCGTGCCGGAAGCCCGGCAGGACATGGGTCACACGCTCGAATGGCAGCCGCGGGCCCCCGCCTCAGTGCGGGGCTGCCGCTTGGAAGGCGTGGCCGGCCACAAGGAGGCGCACATCCTGAGGGTCCTGCCGGGCCCCCAGGCCAGGTAAGGGTGCCCGCTCCCCGCGCCAGGCCCCGCCCAGCCAGGCCCCGCCCCTTCCAGCCCCGCCCAAGCCCCCTGCCGTCTGCTCTCTGCAGACCCCGGACCGTGACCGTGAAGGTGGAGCTGAGCTGCACATCTGGGGATCCCGACGCGGTCCTCATCCTGCAGGGTCCGCCCTATGTGTCCTGGCTTATCGACGCCAACCACAACATGCAGATCTGGGTGAGCCTTCCGCCGCACCCCCAAACAGAAACCCCAAACTCCAAACCTCCTCCATCACACCGCCTTCCCGCAACAGCGCTCTGGCCCTGAGCTGGACAGTCCTTCTGCCTCCAGCTCTCTGTCCCAGCCTATCACCTGTCCTTCCCCTAGAGGACACCTCCTCCAGGAAGCCTTCTCTGATCATCTAGGGAGTCCTCTATTCCATCCCACAGGGTCAAGGAAGACCTCTAGAGAGATGAGCCCTGAGCTGAGTTGAAAGACAAACAGGAGCCAGTAGGCGAGGGGAAGGGTGGCCCAAGGCAAGAGCAGGATAGAGACCTGGCATCACCTTGGCTGGCCTGGTGCCCCTGACTGTAGCCATAGCTCTCTGCCTTACCTCTCTCCCTGTCTTCAGACCACTGGTGAATACTCCTTCAAGATCTTTCCAGAGAAGAACATCCGCGGCTTCGTGCTGCCGGACACACTGCAAGGCCTGCTAGGAGAGGCCCGGATGCTCAACGCCAGCATCGTGGCCTCATTTGTGGAGCTCCCGCTGGCCGGTGTCGTCTCACTGCGGGCCCCCAGCTGCGGTGAGCCTTTGCCCCGACCCTCCTTTATCTTGCCCCCACCCAACCCCCCACCCTGGGTCACTTGCCACACGGTCCACCCAAGAGCTCAGTGCCTGTGTGCAGTGAGCCACAGTGACTCTGCTGCCCCGCAGGTGGTGGGCTCCAGACCTCCCCTGCACCGGCCCTGACCACGCCTCCCAAGACCAGTTGCAGCCCCAACCTGCTCTTGTCCCTGATCCAGCCAAAGTGTGCAGATGACGTCATGACTCTGGTACTCAAGAAAGATCTTCTGCAGGTAAGAGTCACCTCTGCCTCCTGCCGACACGAGTCCAAGAGTCTCAGAGCCCTAACCCATGCAGGGCGACAAGTCACATCCCTCTGCAAGCTTCCCACTTGTGAAATGCGGTTGGTGATGCACCTATTACGTGAGGACCGACAGGCACAACACGTGACCCAGTCAGATGTGGGCCATATTAAGTGTTCTGAAATAATGCCAGTATACCGGCATGGCATCACAGTCTGTAATCCCAGCTACTCAGGGGGCAGAGATAGGAGGACAAGAGTTCTAGGCCAGTCTAGATCTCTAGGTAAAGGGAGTGAAAGATCCCATCGGAAAAATAAAAGGACTGGAGCGTAGCTCAGGTGATGCAGTGCTTTCGTGAGGCCCTGAGTTTGAATCTCAGTACTGGGGTTGGGGATGCCAGAAACAATTCGTGCTTTTAAAAAACATGCAAAAACTATTACTGGAGGAATGGCTCAAGTGGCAGAGTGCCTGCTTAGCAAGCTGAGTTCAATCCCTAGTACCACAAAAAAAAAAAAAAGACAAAAATTAAATAATAAAGGCTGGGGAGCTAAAGTGATAACAATTTAATAAATAAAAAATAACAGTATCTAATAATAAAAAATGAAAATAAAATTATAAGATAAAGGAGAATGATACATTGCAAGAACTCTTGTAAATGTCACAGTGTACCCCCAGTACAACAATTTAAAAAAAAAAGTAAATCTTTTCTAAAAGGTTGAGAAAAAAACAAGACCGGGGGAGTAGTGTAATGCCTGAAATCCTGGTTATTTGGTGGTAAAGGTGGGAGGATCAAAGTCTGAGCCCAGCCCTGAGCATAAAACTCTAGACCCTGTCTGAAAAATAACTAAAGCAAAAAAAGACTGGCAGAGTGGCTCAAGTGGTAGAACATCTGACTAGCAACCATGAGGCCTTAAGTTCAAACTCCAGTCCTACCAAAAAAATTAAAAAGCAAAAATTAGAAAAGAGAATTTTGAGTTTTCTGAGCAGGCCAGCCTTCAACTCAGGATCCTCCTGCCTAGCCTCCCAGGTTCTGGGATTACAAGCCTGTACCACCATGCTCAGTTTAAGAATAAAATCGTAATCTCCCCACACAAAGATAATGGCTGCCAACATTGTGTGTGCTTCTTTCTGGAACATTTTCTCTGTTCACTTTTTTTTTTTTTTGGTTGGTACTGGGATTTGAACTCAGGGCCTGTTTTTTCCTGTCTTGTAGTTACTTCCCGCAGATCTAAGAACTAGTCCTGTAGTAAAGCAAAACCACACAATTACTGTATGTGTGGCTGCAGTATGGAAGCTCCATCAGGACACGAACCCAGGGCCTTGAGCTTGCTGGGCAGGTGCTCTATCTACCACTAGAGTCCAGGCCCCAGCTCTTTTTTGTCTTGGGTATTTTTTAAATAGAGTCTCCAGTTTGTTTTTTCCCCTGATGCTGGAGCTGGGATCCCAGGTGTGAGCCATCGCCTGCCCTCTGTGTGCTCCTTAAATAGGTGTGACCATAACAGATACATTTGTTACTCGCTATTTCACCTGTGTTTAGAACTTCTGACTTGTGCTCAATAGCAAGTTAATGAGCAGATGCTATCCTTTTATATTGATGTGTCATAATTAACTCTTCCCCTTGTGAGACTATCCTATAATATTATAAATACGCAGAAACTTTTGTCTAATGGATTCTTCTCTTAGGACAGATTTCCTCAGGCGTGATATCGAAGAGTCAGATCTGAAGTTTTGATAGGTTTTGCTAACTGGCTTTCCCTGGAACACAATTTGAATTTTCAGTGGTTTGAGAGCAATTTGACCATTTTCTCTCTTTCCAGATTCTAATTAAGAAGAAAAAGAAAACCAAAACAGTATTTGTCAATGTGGGAGATGAAATATGGTGTTCCATTTTTCTTTTTTAATTTAATTCTTTGATTAGTAGTGGATGTGGGCATGTTTCATAACCTGTCTTTATTGCTGAGACTTGGCTTTTTTTTTTTTTTTTTTGGTGGGACTGGGCTTTGAACTCAGGGCCTCATACTTGCTAGGCAGGCACTCTATTCTACCACATAGGCCACTCCACCAGCCCTTTTATGTGAAGGGTTTTTCGAGACAGGCAGACTTTGAACTCCGATCCTCCTGATCTCTGCCTCCTGAGTAGACAGAATTACAGGTGCAAGCCACCAGTACCCAGCTTTGTAAGCTTTTTATGTAAAGAAAAAATTGGGGGCCCCATGTCCATTCTTTCTTATAGTTTGTTATAGTTCCTTACAGTTTGGCTACAGTGGTTTGTTTGTTTGCTTTGGATTTTTTTCAGTGCTGGGACTCAAACTCAGGGTCTGGCTCATGCCATGTGCTGGGCACATTACCACTGAGCTACATCCCCAGCCCCACCTATAGCAGTTTCTAACTTTTTGGACATTTGAAAAAAAATATGGACTGGGAGTGTAGGTCAGTGGTAGAGTTACTTACCTAGCAAGGGAGAGGCCCCAGGTTCAATCCCCAGCACCTCACAAATAATAAATGAGTGAGTGAATGAATATGGGACATCCTTGACGCCCATCTTCCCCTTTGTTGATTTTTTTTCTGGGGCAGGAAAGGTGTCTGTCAGAGCTTTGCTAAATCCTATGCCCTCTTGGGAATATTTAGAGTGACACTGAATGCAGTGTTAAGTCCCCATGGCATGTTTTTGGCTTTGGAGTTTGGGACCTGGATAAAGTCCCACATGTCTGCTGCCTTCTTCCTCCTCTCCTGCCTCTGCTGGTGTGGCAGGTATCTGGGAGGTGGAGGAGGTGGTGCTCCAGAGGTGACCCCAGGCAGCTGAGGGGCAGTAACAATCAGGACAGCACCCTAGAGGAGTGAATTAGCCACACTCAAGTGGGATCTCCAGCCGCCCACTCAACTCTAAGACTCTGAGATCTGAGATCCTAAGAGGGTGACTGAGAAGTTCTAGAGTTTGAGTCATGGAAGACTGGTCAGCAAACTCTGGCCCACTGCCGGTTTTTATAAATAAAGTTTTGTTGGAAATCAGCCACAATCATCCATTTCCATAATATATGTGACTGTTTTACAATGAGACCACGTGACTCCCAACACCCCAAAACATTTATTACCTAGTCCTGTACAGGAAAAGTGCCCAGCCCAGATCTGAGACTGGATTATGCTACGAGGGTCTGCACACCCCTGGGGCCATGGGTACTAATTATGTGTGGAACTTGGATGTATGTTTTTCATTTCAACAACTCTCTATTTATTTTTATTTATTTGGTGAGACTGGGGTTTGAACTTAGGGTTTCGTGCTTATAAAGCAGGCACTCTACCACTGAAGCCATACCTCCAGTCCACTTTGCTATGATTATTTTAGAGATGGGGTCTCACCAGCCCTGGCTGGTCTTAATCCTGTCCAGTCCTACATTTATTTTAATAAATATATTAGAAGAAAAGCATTAAGTAGCAAATCAAATTCATTATGTCATAAATCAAATTCATGGGACAAAGCAAAGTACAAAAGTAAGCAATTTCAATTGCCAGTGCCAATGGCTCACACCTGTAGCCCTAGCTACTTGGAAGGCTGAGACTGGGAGGATTGAAGTTTGAGGCCAGCCAGGGCAGATAGTTCCAGAGACTGCATCTCCAAAATAACCAGAGCAAAAAAATAAATAAAATAAAAACCAGAGCAAAATGGACTGGAGGTGTGGCTCAAGTGGTAGAGTGCCTTTTTGTAAGTGGAAAGTCCTGAGTTCAAACTTGAGTCCCACCAAAAAAAAAGTATTAAGTCTTAAATGATACAGGATGATGACACCTACCAACAATGAAAAAGGAGAGCAGAGAATGGCTGGGGTTTGTGACCCCTGGCTGATGACCAGTCCTTACCTGGGGGAGCTCAGGACCTCCTGACAATGTCCCCTCCCCTGACCCAGGCTATGCAGTGCACCATCACGAGCTTGACCTTCTGGGACCCCAGCTGCCAGGCCGAGGACACTGATGACCAGTTTGTCTTACGCAGTACCTACTCCAGCTGTGGCATGGAAGCGACATCAAATGTGATCAGCAACGAGGTAAGGACGGGGCCAGAAAGGTGTGGGGATCAGTTTACTTGGTGTCCTCCTAAGTGGGTGCCCTCTTGGTCCTCCCAGCTGAGGGATGGTTGGGGGGAGCAGGGTGTGGCACTCAGCAGGAACCCAATATAAGCTTGGGTGTGTTAGGTAAGACACCCTCTGGGGTCCTTTCTGGCACTGACCAGCTCCTTGATTCTGTCCGTGCAGGTGGTCATCAATTTCCTGTCGGGCTCGTCACCACTGAGGGTAAGAGGGGTGGCTCATGCTACCCATCCAGTCCAGGATCTGCAGCCTGCTGGGGCTGGGGCCCCTTCATGGCCTGGGAGGGAGCAGGACTCAGGAAACTCAGGCCTGGATCCTGGCAAGCCGTATGTCTCCAGTGCGCCTCAGTCTCCCCTTCTATAGAGTGGGAGCAGAGCAGCTGAGGGTTAAGCTCTTAGCCTCAAGTCAGAGGGTTCTAGCACATACTGGCTGTGTGGCCTTGGGCAAATCACTTTACCTTTCTGGGCCCAAAAGTCATCATCTATAAACTGTGGCATAAGAAAGGATCCCAACCCATAGAGGTCTATGAGCAGTCACTTCAGTGTCACATGAAAGTTCTTCATACAGACCGGCGCCAAGAGCGTCTTGATAAATTAGCTCTTTTAAAAGGTGAGGATGAGGACGAGGCAACTCTGGGCCATGACTCCTGCTGCCATATCCACCCCTCCCCTTCCTTGCTGGTACCACCCAGACTAACCAAGTCTCCCTGCTGTCCTCCTGCAGAAAAAGGTGCACTGCGTTGACACAGATGGCCTCTCCTTCCAGCTAGGCCTCTACCTCAGCCCTCACTTCCTCCAGGCCTCCAGCACCATCGAGCTGGGCCAGCAGGGCTTTGTGCAGGTACTGGGCAGCTGGTTCCCTAGGCCTCTCAACTCCGGGAATTTCCCATGAGCCTTGTTTCCATCATTGCTACACAAAAGATGATAAACTCCCAGAAGGAGGGAGGCAGCCTGGGTGCATGGGGAGGACCAGTGGAGAAGGCATTGCTTACAGAACTGATAGGAACATCACCCTCTCCTTCCTGTTAGCTCCAGCAGGCCCCTGCCTAACCTCCACCTTGAGGATTTGGGGTGGGAGCTCTTCCTTCTAGCTTATTTCAAAAGAACAGAGGTGGAGGGTCAGGAATAGCTACCCATGCCTGCTCCCCTTTCCTCCTCATGCAGGTGAGCATGTCCCCATCGGTCCCTGAGGCTGCGATCCAGCTAGTCAACTGTCACCTGGATTTGGGGCCTGAGGCAGACATAGTGGAACTTATCCAGGGTCGGATAGCCAAGAGCAGCTGTGTGAGCCTGCTGTCCCCAAGCCCTGACGGTGATCCACGCTTTAGCTTCCTCCTCCGTGTCTACATGGTGCCCACACCCACGGTTGGCACCCTCAGCTGCAACATAGCCCTGCGTCCCATGACCTGGTCCCAGGTGAGTGGAGCCTGGCCCAGGCCCAGCTTCAAGGGTGGTTTCTAGGTCTGGGGTTTGCAGGCAGGCACATGGTAGCCTAGGGGGAGTGGAGACAGCTCTCGAGGAGCAGAGTAATAGTCAGGCATGTGGCTTGACAGTCTTGCTGTCAGGGACACTCCGGCTGCTACCCTATACTATAGCTTTCTGGTGGAATTTGTGTGTGTGTGTTTCTGTGTGTGTGAGTGGTGTGCATGTGAGTGTGTGTAGTGTTTCTGTTTGTGCGTGGGTGTTTGTGTAGCTGCATATCCAATTATCCATCCATCCAATTATCCTTCTGTATTTACCCATCTGTCCATACATCCATCCACCCATCAATCCAGCCACCCAACCCATTCGTCATCTATCTACCCACTTATCCATCCACCCATTCATCCCGCATCTATCCACCCATGAATCAATCTATCCATCCATCCATCCAATATTTCTACCATCACATTCAGTTCCTTATCTTTCCCCCAGGAGTCCCACTCACCCATCCATGTGGCATGATCAACCAGTGTGATCTCAATGAATAGGAGATCTTAGGAAAGAGGGACATAAAATTCCAATCTTCTGCACTTCACTGTCCCGTGAATCTCCAGCCTCGGGCACTCAGTCCTGGACACTCACAAGGTCACCCAGCATGAAGCTGGAAAGCCTTTGGGGGTCATGCTGAGTGGGCCTTGCCCTAAGCTTAGGAGACCAGGCCTCTGGGCTGTCCTGGCTTATGGCCCCCAAGGCATCACAAGGGTAACAGATGCACTGCTCCCACAGAGCTCATGGGTGTCAGGGTCGTCCAGTAACTCCTGGAAGATTCCACAGCAGCCAAGGACTGTCTACTCAACACTGTCCTACAGCACACACCCCCAGGACTTGCCCGCAGGCTCCCAGCTAGAAAGTAATGGAGGTGGAACTCACAGCCAAGGCTCTAGGTGGAGCTGTGACAAATCAAGGCCACAGAGCCAGGGAGAATCCAAATGCTACCTGCAAGATAGGATCTCAAAAGTCCAAGGGGAGGTCACTGGATCAGGGAGTGACCCATAGGAGACAGGAGTATGCAAGGAACGAGGCTTGAGACAACCCAAATAGAGCTGTGCCACACATCACTCTCCTCCTCCCCCCAGGAAGTCTACAGGACTGCCTCCATGCGTCTGAACATTGTCAGCCCTGATCTGTCTGGTGAGTGCCCGCTGGTTCTCTTGGGTTTGTTCCAGAAGTGGGGAATGATGAACAGCTGGAGGGATGGAGCTCAGGCACATGGCAGAGGATCTTGGGGAGCAGCCCTGGGAGGAGGGGAAGAAGGGCCTCCCAGGTGCCAGTACCCAGAGTAGCACTAAGTTGCAGGACCACCCCAGAGGCAGCATTCTGGGCCTCTGGCTCACTGGCAGGGCTCTTCTCCATCCCTTTGGCTGCTGGTCTACCTTGCCAGAAGATGGGGCCTCCTGGATGGTACATGAGGCACCTTGGGCATGGTGTTGGCCTCCCCTTTCTTGAAGTCCCCAGTCTACACCCTCCAACCTTTCATTAGTTCCCCTGGGCCCAGATGCCACCAGGTGATAAGAGTATTGATGCAAGTGGGGTAGACCACGGGGACCTGCCACGCAGGTAAGGAGGGTATCCCCATCCCCAGCAGGACCAGGCAAGCAGTGTTAATAACACCACTGCACAGATGGGATGTGAGAAGCCCAAGGGGAGGCCACTGGACCCAGAGTCACACGGGACAGGAGGATGAATGAGGCTTGGGACAACCCAAGTAGAGCTAAGGAGTCCTAAAAAGTGCGGTGGCCTATTCTGACCTGACACAGGGCCCAAAGAGGGGCAGGGGCTGACTAAGGTCACACAGAAGGCAGAGCAGGCTGAGGACGCCTAGAGGCTTTGCCTACTTTATGCCAACCGTGCCCCCTGAAAATGCTTTTCTGCCAGCCTTAGGAGGCAGAAGCATGGTCCAAAAGGCCTGACTGGGCAGATGGCCACAGTTCAGTGCTGGGCACGGCTGTGACGAGCCCCTGCGCTAGATAAAGACACCGAGGTTCAGAGAAGTCAGGCTCAGGCTAAGCTGGGACTAGCATCAAAACCTGTGCTCCTGGCCAGCAGGACAGGGTAGGGGCAGGGCTGGGGACAGGGTAGAATAGCAGCGCTGGTTGACCATGGTGATCCCTCCCTTGGTCACACAGGTAAAGGCCTCGTCCTGCCCGCTGTGCTGGGTATTACCTTTGGTGCCTTCCTTATTGGGGCTCTGCTCACCGCTGCTCTCTGGTACATCTACTCGCACACACGTGAGTATCCCAGGTCCCAGCAGTAAGCGAGTGCTCAGGGCCCCTCTACCACCACCTGGGGATGCCCGGTGAAGCCTCTGAGGGAGTGGGGAGCCCTGGCTGGGACCCTGACCTCCGCCCCTGCCCGCGCCCCCAGGTTCCCCCAGCAAGCGGGAGCCCGTGGTGGCGGTGGCTGCCCCGGCCTCCTCTGAGAGCAGCAGCACCAACCACAGCATCGGAAGCACCCAGAGCACCCCCTGCTCCACCAGCAGCATGGCGTAGCACCCGACCTGGAGCCTTGGGGGCCCCCCAGCCAGCCCTTGCCCCGAAGGAGAAACTGAGCAGCCACCAGCTGGGAACCACTGGCCATGAACTCACCCCAAGAGCCCAGCGCCTCTACCTGCCCGAGGACGGAGCGTGTCCTGTGCACCCGCCCCTCCTTCCTGTCTCTCAGAGGACTGCTGCCAGCGGGGGCACCAGCCTGGAACGCCTCGGGGTTCCCTCACCCCAGTGCACAGAACCTTCAAACCCAGGGGCTATGGGACATGGCCACCCAGCACCAGAGAGAGAGAGAGGCCACAGGCCCTGAGTCCCTATCATTTTAATCCAGACACTGCATTGGAACTGTGCTGGGTGGGAGGTAAAAACTCCAAACAGACTCAGCCCAGCCCACCCAGGCTGATGGCGCCTCCTCCCTGGAACAGAAGAGGGTCCTGCCCAGAGCCCCCTGCATTCGGTCCCTGTGGCCTCCACACCTGGAATGGCACAACTTTGGTGGGGGAACAGAAGCTGAGGGCAGCACTGCCCTAGAGCCCAGAGGATGGCAAGAACAGTGGGGTGGGGGAGCCTAGCTCCTTCCTGAATGGCCACACAGAGCCCCCTCCCAGCCCCTCAGGCAGGCAGCAGGTGGGCAGTGGCCAAGCTGCTGGTCTTGGGCCCACCCCTGTATATTCACCAATAAATCAGACATGAAACCGGTGCTGGGCTGGACTGAGCAAAGGGGAGAGGCCTATAATCTGGGGGCCGGCTCAGGCATACAACAGGACTGCGTGTCCTTGCCTCCCTGGGCTGGCTTGGTGGCAAGTGACCAGGGCACGGCAAGTTTGGATTAAACCAGTCCCTCTGCCACTCACTCATTCAGTGGTCCATACCTGGGATTGAGGCTGAGTAACCAGACACCAGGATGCCCTATCCTCATTCTGGGGTGGGAACACAGGTCCCCAATAGCTCTGGGTTCCAATCCAGACCCATTTATTGGCTGTATGACAGTGGGCAGAGCCCACGGCCTCTCAAAGCCAGCCACCATCCCTTCATCTGCAAAAATGGGTACGATGCTTGATCACAGGTAATTGCAAAATCTGTGAAGCAGACATGTCACAGTTCGTCTCATGTCACAGGTACAGCACCTGCTGCTCAGAGGGAGCAAAGGACTTGTCCCATACCACGTGGTCTGGGCTTCTTCTACACAGTCTAGTTCCCATTCCAGCTGCAGCCCTCAGACCCTGTTGGTCTGATGAGAAAGCTAGAAGTTAGGACTCAATCCAAGGTTTTGCTATTTCTTTAAAAAAAAAAAAAAAAAAAAGTGCTACAAGGCTTTAATTCACTCCAGCCACCCTCTGTTTCTAGGGTGCCCCAGGCAGGGACTTTCTCCTTTCCCAGAAGACACTGAGAAGAGGAACTCTTTCATCTGGTACCCGGGGTGGACCCTGGTTCAGTCAGGCAACTCATACAGTAAGCTAGGCCTGAACCGGGAGGTAGGAAGGGCGGGAGGGGAGATGCACATGTACTACAATAGTGGGGACCCTGGGAAGCCCTCCACTGTCTCAGTGAGAGGAAGGACAGACCAAGGCACAGAGCCTCTCCCAGCCCTCTACTCTACCACGCAGAGCTCAGGACCCTGAACCAGTCTTGAAAGAATCAGGAAAGCAGAACTGAAAGGCACCTGGTATAAGTTCAGGGCAGATGTGGGAGGCTCCCACCTCTACCCCCACCACCGTGGTTACTGGGACATGGAGGGCTCAAGCAGCTTCAGGACACCGCCCACCAGATGCAGGCTGCCCGTGACCAGCACTTGGATTGCTGCAGCCTCACGGAGAACAGTGGCCCCACTGTTGGCCACGGGGTGGGCAAGGAGGCCCCTTGGGGGACTGGGTGGCTGAAAGATGGGGTCCCGGCCTTGGCTGATCCACTGTAAGGCATGGGAGATGCAGCTGAAGACAAGGGAGCTGGCACTGCAGGGATGGGGTGAGTGGGGTGCCAACAGCAAGGATGTGGGTCCACTAGGCTCCAGGTTTGGGGAACTCCAGAGATCGGAGCTATCTTGCTCCTCACCCAGGCAGTTCCAGTGCTGCTGGTGTTGGAGGCAACGGAGAAGCACCTGGTCCAATGTCACAGTGAAGTTCTGCTGGTCTGAGGGTTACGGAGACAGGCGTGTCAGTGCAGGGGACCAGGAGTGGGGACAAGACAGGGGCAGGTGCATGTATCACTGAAACAGACCCTGCTGGTGGGCCTCACAGTGGACATTATGAGAAAACAGGCTCAGTCAAGTTCAATAACTTGCCCAAGGTCATGGGAAGCAGAGCCAAGTAGTCCAGCTATAAAGCTTTTGCCAAATAAGCACTATCCCACCTACCCCATTGTCCTCATCTGCAAAACAGATGGCCAGCAGGGTCTCCAACCAGGTGGGCCTAAGTATTTCCAAGGGAAATGGTTAAAAATACAAATCCCAGAACTCTCCCCAGAGAATCTGATGTGGGACCTGAGGATCTGTAGTTTTTACACCTTTTCCAACTTTTTTAAAACACAATACATAGTAAGAAATACATTTTACATTGCAACCCAGTATTCACATCTTGCATATATGCCTGAACAGGATCTTCAAATATTATCTACCCCTACTTTATGCAATGTATGCTACTTTCTCTTCTACTCTATTTCATTTAAAGTAATCACAGGGCTGGGGATATAGTTCAGTGGTACAGTGCTTGCCTAACATGCATGAGGCCTTGTGTTTGATCCCTAGCACTGCAAAGCAATGCAAAGGAAGGAAAGGAAAGCAATGGAAAGAGAAAGGGAAAAAGGAAAGGGGAAAGGAAAGGGAAAGAAAAAAAGAAAAAGGGCTAGAAGAGTGGCTCAAGCAGTAGAGCGCCTTCCTAGCAAGCATGAGGTCTTGAGTTCAAACCCCAGTATCAAAAAAAAAAAAAAAAGAAAGAAAAAGTCAGGTCAAGACCCACTAAACTGATTCAGTAACCATCAATGGGCTGAAACCTGCATTTTGAAAATTTTCCCTAGGGCTGGAGGAGCAGCCTTCAGCTGTTAAGCCTTACAGTACCTACCAGGCAAATACAAAGACAAGTTCAAATTGAAAAAATAAACTATACGTCCCTGATAACTTTTTTTTTTTTTTTTTTGCAGTACTGGGACTTGAAATCAGGGTCAAGGCCTACACCTTAAGCCACTCCACCAGTCCTTTTTTGTGATGGGTTTTCTCACAAACTATTTATTTCCCTAGGCTGGCTTCGAACTACTGATCTCTGCCTCCTGAGTAGCTAGGATTACAGGCGTGAACCACTGGCACCTGGCATTTTCCCTGATAACTCTCATACGGTCTTGCAGCTTCATGGCACAAAGTTTGAAATGTACCAAAGGGAATCTGTACAATGAAACAAATCTGCCTCTTATCCCAGACCTGCAGTTTGGAAGCCCACACACTTCCCACAGAATAGTACACTTCACAGTCCTCTGCCCGCCAACCCCCATGAACTACACCTGTCACCTCTCACCTGCGCTGCCTGTGGATGACACCTCTGTCAGGTTGGGACAGAAGACAGCATAGTCAAACCGGCAAGGCTAGGAAGGCGAGGGGAAAGACTTGGTATCAGATTCCTGAGAGAATGTCCCCCACCCCAACTTCCTAATGGTCTCCAGAGCCAACCTCTCTGGAGGAACTGACCATCCCTGAAATCGAATGATACTGTAGAAACTCAGCCACAGCACTTCAGCTCCGCCCCCACCTGCCTCAGTGTACCCTGTCTCACCTGTGGCAGTGAAGGCGTGGCCTACAGATGGGAACAAGGGTGGTGGCACTTGTTTATGGTCACTAAGCTTGGAAGTGGACCCAAATCCAGGTTGGGGAAAGGGCTCTACACAAATGGCAGCGGTTCTGGATACAAACAACCTCGACTTCCTAGTCTGTGAAATGAGAGCTAAGCTTCTGCCCTGACAGCCTAGAGCAGCCTTAGTTTTCCCAAGCAGAAAAGGGCCACTGTGTGCTTTACGGCTGGTGACTCCTTAAACCAAACTTGAAAAGCAGGCACCCTTAGTGGCAGCCCCATTTCAAGTAGAAACTGAGACTCAGGAAAATGCCATCTCTTGTCCAGGATCATATGCCAGTGGCTAAAGGGACATGCCAGTCTAGGCCCTCCCTTCAACCCTGGGCTTGGGTGGCCACACAAGAGAATGGGGACTTCCCCAAGTACCCAGACTTTTACATTTCATCCTCAGTACCATTCAGGGGGAGAAGGAATCAGTGCCACTTATAGTACAAGACATCCAGGCCCCACAAGGAGGGGGCAAGGTTGTCGCAGAGCCAGAACCAGGGAGGGCTGCTGAGCTGCCCCATGCCCACCCCCCAAAGCTGGTTCCTCACCTGCAGTAGCTTCAGCAGGGCGGCAGGGTCTCTGTCTCCAGTGGAGTTGAAGAGCAAGACACGCACCTCGGGCCCTCTGCACCAAGGGAGAGGAGGAAGGAGGTCAAAGCAGCTCATCCCTCTCCTCCAGCCCTTTCCCAAGAACACACCCCACTCCCCACTGGTCTAGTCCCACCTTGGTCTTTATCCCAGATCCTGCCCCTCCTATGGATCTTGCCCCCAGCCCTGCCCTACACAGTGCTCACCCACTCGGCCTCTCCCTGCGCTGCAGCGCCTGGCGGTACCAGCGCACACAGGCCTGGATGCTGCTGGTGGTATGTGCGCCATCCAAGTACCAAGTGAGGGGCCCACGCAGTAACACCTGCGTCCGGCCAGGCCACTCTGTGTCTCGAAGCCCTGGCAAAGGTGGTAACAGAGTAACAGCTCAGGGATCCTACCCCACCCCAGTCTTCGACTCTGCACTCAACCTGACGGGATCCTCTGAGCGCTCTGAGGATCCTGTCAACCCAAGAGCCTCCCATTAATGTCAGTCACTAGGTGCAGAGCTTGCACTGCAGCATGGTGTGGAATCTTCCAGGCAATCCTGAGAGGGTGTTGCTACCCTGTATTAGTCCCATTTGACAGCCAGAGAGCTCTGTACTCACAGACCAAGTGAGTGCTAGAACTGCAATGTGATCAGAGATCTGTTTAACCACTCACAGCAGGCCCAGTACACAGTAGGCACACTGAAGCCATTTGCTGAAGGGGACTAACAGCATGAGCACCTACTATGAGCTGAGAATTTGGGGGGGAGAGGGCGGGGAGGCACAAGAAGCAGATGGCAGGAGCATCATCTTAAGGACCTCATGGTTTGATGATGACAGGGACAGCAGCTACCACTGGCTGGGCACTTGGTCCCATATCCTCCAGGCTCTGGGTTCAGCAGCTTAGCGAGATCATCTCAGTGAATCATTGCAAAGCCCATGGCAGTGGGTTCTACCATCACCTCATTTGGCAGATGAGGAAACTAAGGCTCAGAAAGGTTCAACTAGAACTCAGGGAGGAATACAATAAGGGAAGGTCACTACCTTAGCACCACCTTGAACTGTCTCCATCTCCCAAACAGGAAACCAAAAGAAACATCTAAAAGGGCCCAAAAACACCTGGTGGTCCTGGCTGGGCAGGAAGTTCTGACTCACCATGCCGCATATGGGATGTGGGCTGGAACACAGGTGCCAGGGGCAGCTGCCACCGGACGCTTGGCCTGGACATCTTCAGCTCCTGGATGTCTGTGGGGTAGGTGAGGTGTGTGAGGGCCAGTGCGCTCAAACCCTCCAAAAAGGCTCCCTGTGTGCTACCTATCTGCCTCCTCACACCACCTACTTACCCTGGTTGTTGTGGTGCTGGAGCCAGCAGTGGGCCAGCTGCAAGGCCAAGGCTGCATTGGATCTCTGGTGCTCTCCCTCCAGGCCCAGGATCAGTGGTGGCGCCCCTTCCTCCAGAGCTTCCAGTGGTGGGCACAGGTAGAGAGGACACTGTGGGGAGAAGGGCAGAGGCTGGTCAGCAAAGATGGCTAGGAGACCCTCCCATCACACCCCACACCCACCAGAGCCCACCAAGACCTGCTCCCAGAACTGAGATATGTTCTTGGTGAACAGAAGCTGGCTCAGCTCTGTCATTGCACAGATGAGCAAACAGACCCAACCGGAGAAAGCATCTACCAATCAGGACAGGACCCCCTCCCCGCCACTGCCCCCCCCAACCAAACTCACTGAGATCTGCTGGGCTCGATCCCTCAGCACGGCCAGGGGACCTTCTGGCTGGAGCACGGTGAAGGCAGGGATGCCATGCTGCAAGCAGGTCAAGGAGAGTAAGACAGGAGCTGCTGGGGCCCTCCACCCTCCTCTCTAGTCCCCACAGACAAGGATCTAGGCTGCCACTCAGCCTCCCATCCGTAATGCTTCAACTGAAGTCAGAGGGGCTCAATGTGCTGCAATCACACAGTGGAGCCAAGATAAGGACCCGAGTCTGCAGAGGCTAGGGCTCCATCCCGAGTCAGAAAACTAATGGTTCAGCCCTAGTCCTGCTTTCTTAAGTTTCCTGTGTACTTCCCTTCCCCCAGCCTTCCTGGTCACCTTAAAGATGCCCCCTTTCTGCCAGGCTATCTTCTCCATTGTGTCTCCCAGAAGACTGGTGTGATCAATGCCAAGAGAAGATACTCCACACACCACAGGCTTCCTGCAGAAGACAAAAGTGCCATGATACCCCCATCCTGAGTCTCCAGGCAGAAGGGGAGGGCTGGGCTCCTGATCACCACCTCTGTCCCTAAGAGCTACCTCACCTGATGATGTTTGTACAGTCATAAGCCCCGCCGATGCCCACTTCTACCACTGCCAGGTCGACCTGCAGAAAACCAGATGGCATGTCAGTGGAAAATGGGTGCCTGGATGCCAACTAGGAGCAGGGAGCCCCCCCTGCTGAGATTCTAGTCCCTGAGGAGTCAGATACAGGGGCCTGGGAAGGGCACGCACCTTTTCTTGGAGGAAGACATGGAAGGCCATGAGTGTAAGGAAGCGGAAGTAGGCAGGCATGGAGACACAGCTGCTGTCCTGTGCACAGGAATATGTCAGGGCCTGCAGCTCCCACAGCCTCTGCTCTGGGGAGATGGGGGCCTGGGACACACAGAACCCTGTGCTCTTCCCACCCACCAGCCCTCTGGCACAGGTACCTTGGTCTCCTCTAGTCGGTGGTAGAGGCGCCAGAAGTGCTTGGTGAAGAGCTCGGGGCTGATGGGTTGCCCATTGATGCGAATCCGCTCACGCACCTGCACCAGGTGGGGAGAGCTGCCGGGAGACCTGGGGTCATTTGTACTCCCGTCCCAAGCCCCAAGACCTTCCCTGCCCGCAATCAGACTTGTCCCTGGGAAACCCATCTGACCACGCCAGTCTGCCGAAAACTCTCCTGATGCTCCACAATACCCACAAGAGAGTCCCAGCTCCTCACCATGGCCTCGCAGGCCCTGCAAGGGCTGTGCCTCACCTCTGCTATGCCCCTGTCCCCTCTGGGCAATCTTTAGTCCCTCCGGCCACCATCGATCCCCTCTTATCACGGCTCACCCTACTAACTAACATCCCCTCCAGAAAGGAGGTAAAAGAACCCTGGCCCCAGGATGGCCTAGCATGTTCTCTAGTTCCCAACAGTCCCCAGACTTTCCCCATCACACACTCAGTTACTTTGTTAACATCTGGCCACAATGTCTATCTGTCTTCTAGACCTTAAAGACAAGGTCTTGTCTGCTGTGTTCAAGATGCATCCCCAGGCCAGTCACAAGAACTCATGGACCCAAGTCATGAGTTTTTACTCAAAAAATTATTTTGAACTCAGAACTCAAGTTCTCCCTTACAATTCTCTTGTGGGTGTCTCTATATCTGCATGCCCCCGAGAGGAGGTGCTGCCTCCACAGCAAAGCATTTCTATGTGACTTAAAAATTATATCTGGAATTAAGTTAATAAAGGGAGAAAAAGATTAAAAATAAACGGACATCTAACTATTCATGTACTATCACCTCTCTGATTTTTTTCACTATGAAAACTAAGCATTGCTATAAACTTGGGTCAAGATGATAAGTGCTAATTTAATGTTTGATGAATGAGTAAATGCTGGGCAGAGAGAGATATATATGCAGCTGACCTGCTGTGAGTGACCCTGGACCTAGTTTCACAATCCCCCATATCCCACCATGAGTCAGTACCTAAAGAATCCCGTCTTCAGGCCATAATTCCGCAAGATATGCTCAGTAAAGGCACAAGTGGAGCCCTAGAAAGAAAAAGCTTTGTGTGTACAGACCCACCCCCACACCAGCCCACCTGCCCCTGGGTCCTGCCACTCACCTTCCCCTTGGTCCCAGTGACATGGATGATGTTCAGCCGGTCCAGGTCCTCCACCTGATCAGACAGACAAGATCCCCACCTCAGTCACAGGAGTCTCAGACAGATGAGGGTGGGGGAGAGGGTGCCACGCATTCTCCCTACCTTACCTGCAGCCCACTCCGTGCAAGGTACCGTTCCATGGCTTCCAACTGTGACTGGGGGTCACTCCGTTGGCGCTTCACCTGCTCCAGGTAGCTGGCGTTGGTCTGCAGGGTGTTGAGCATCCGCACGGCATCCTGGCCACCACAGCCCCCAAGTACAGATTAGCTCAGTAAGGCTTTTAGGGACAGAGACACCCAGCACACTAGTAGCCATGCAAGGGCAACAGGCCTACGGCAGCACCAGCCCTACAAGTTGCCCCAGTCTACAAGTTAACTAATGAGAACAGAGCAATGGCATCTTTCCAGCTCTGGCAAAAATGGAAGCCTGGGGCAGTTCAGCCCCACCCAGGGAGTGCCAGGCAATGAAGGTGGCAAGGCTAACGGAACTAGCTTTGCTTCCTGAACTGGCTCCCCAGCCTTTGCCCCCTCAGCCTTTGCCCTCATTTCCTCTGTGGCTACGCTGGGCTCCTACTGGGCTCCTACTGGGCTGGGGCCAGAACCACTGAAGCCACACCCAACCCTAAAGACTCTGGGTTCCATGTTGTGACCCTAAGAAAAGCTGCTTGAAGCAACCAGATGGGGAAGTGGAGACTGTGTCCCAGGTCACCTGGCAGGTGGGTACAGCCTTAGGAGAGACCATACTAGGGGCAGGAGTGGGAACAGGTTTTTGTTCAAAATAAAGAAAAGGCCAGGCCTGGTGATGCACATCTGTAATCTCTGCAAGAGGAAGACTGAGGCAGGAGAATTACCAGTTCAGGCCAGCCTGGGCTACACAGCAAGACCATGTCTCAAATAAAACAAAACAAACAAAAATAAATGGAGAGAAATACTTAATATGAGAGGGTCTTTGAGAATTCAAATTCAATCACAGTGCTTAACCACCTTCTGAGAAATGCGTCCTTAGAGAATTTTAATTCCCTCAATCCTCAGATCCAGTGTCCCTTGCCCTCGCTGGCCCCAATTCCCTCAAACCGGTGCCACCTGCCTGGCTGGCATCAGGTTCTGGTCTCTGGCAACCGGCCCCTGGCACAGCACCTGCAGACATTTTCTGTTTTCCAGATTCTTGGGCCCTTCATTACCCTTTATTCCTGCCCCTCTCCACAACTCCACGCGCTGGGATTCCCAATCTTCTGGATTTTAGATATACTCCTTTCTTTCAAGTCTCAATTCCCGAATTCCTCCCGACTTCTTCCCCCACCCCGACCTGCCAGGTCAGATTCCGGGGACACCAGAACTCCTAAGCCCCCAGCTAAGCCCGTGGACCTCTCGGTCCTACAACCAGCACCCCCTTCCCTCTCTAACGTGAGACACTACAGACTCAGAATTCCCAGATGCGGTGGCCGGGGCCCAACTTCCTGGCCCTTGTCCCCACCCCCAGAGTCCAGGATGTTCCCGCCCCAGGACGCCCCAGCCTCAGGCGCCGGGTTCCCCCTTCAGCTGGCGGAGCCCGGATGCTGTGTCGCTCAGGCCCGGACCACGTGTCATAGCACTACGCCTAAAGGCCACCTGATACTCCATGCCGGGCTCCTGCGGCGCCGGCCACGCGCTCAACCCCCGCCGCGCCGCGACCTCGGTTGTTGCACTACGAGCAGAAACGGCTGCTAGAGACAGAGCTGCGCGCAGATGGCGCTGCGCCCACCACATAGTCTTGATGCCGCAGCAAGCGAGGCCCTTGGCGCGAGTAAACCTCCCTTGCCCCGCCCCGCCCCGCCCCTGCTCCCCGCCAATCAGCGCCGCCCAAGACTCCCGCCCCGCACCAATGAGAACTGGCGCTTTCCCTGAACCATCCTTGTGAGGGGCAGGACGTAGGGCCGACCCACGGCGTCTCCATGTTTCTTTGGGGTACGCTCCCTGGCGTCCTCTCATTTAAAGAGACACGCGCTCCTCTGGTCACCTTCCTTTTACGGACCCTGCCACACGTCCGAAAATAACGAGTGCCAGCCAGTCTGCAGCCCTCAGCTCTGCTCCGGGCCACAACCATCTCTGAGCCAAGATAGAATGACAGAGCTGGCACCTCGTGGAGGTCACTGAATTCCAACCCTAAAATTTCCAGACTCTGCAGGCAGCAGAGATGAGGCCGCTACCCTCATCTGGCAGCCAAAGCCCAGGCACCTACATCCTGGAGCCTCTAACCTAACCGACCCTGAGCTGCCTAGAGGCCTTCCTGGAAGAAGCGACATCTCCAGAGGGTGGAGAGGTTTCCGTGCTGAGAGAGGAAGAGCCGCACCTCCATCTGGTTGGGCCGAGTTGCTCCCCAGTATGCTGGATCCAGCAGGACTTCGGAGCCCCATAAGGAGTTTGAATTTGGCTGACGTTAAAATGGTTTAAGGAGGGAGGAAGGACATGATCGGACTTTCACTTTGTAAACTCCCTCGGGCTGCTGCTACGTGGAGAATGGATAACTGTGGGCAACGAACTGAAATGAAAAAGTGAAATCCTAGCCAGGGGCCGCTGGTTCACGCCTGTAATCCTAGCTACGCAGGAGGCAGACGGCTGGAGGATCGATGTAGAGCGCTTTCTCGAGCTCCTGGTTTTCCTGACCTAGCTGGGGGCGACTAGACTAGAGATGCAGAAAGGGCAGAGGATAGAAGACAGACGTGCAGGAAGTTGGGGCTCAGATGGAGACGCACAGCAGCCTTGTCGCTTCTTTTCTCTTATTCTTTAAAACCTTACTTCTAATGGCTTTCTTTTCTGTTCTTTAAAGTCTCTTCCCTTAGACTCGCTCTGTCCCGCGTTTTAATCTCTCTTAAAGTCTTGGCCCTCAGACTTGCACTGTCCCATGTTTCCTCTAATCTCTAGCATAACTCAGCAGCCCACCAATCAATCAACCCCCATCAAAAACCCCTGCGGCCTCCTTCAGCAGTCTGTTATATCCAGTGGTAAGCAAGGAGGTGGAGCAAAAGTTCTCTGGGAGGGGCGTGACATTGTAACAAGAGAAACCTGTTTTCCTACTTCTCTGAACTTAAACAATTTAGGAAAAGTGGCTGTGCTGCCTTTTGCCTCTGGCTCTCTTCTGTGGCTGGGGCCATGCCCAACTCAGCCTGTAGATCATTGAGCACAACCGTGCTTATGTCAAGTTCTCATAGGCTTCTCATAATCCACTCCCCACAGATTGAGGTTCAAAGCCAGCCCAAAAATAGTTCGAGAGACCCTATCTGGAAAAAGGCCCATCACAATTCAAAATAAGCAAAATAGTTTTAGAATCACTCATTGGCTGGACTTCAGCTCTTTGCACACTGCTGGGGTGCTGTGTGTGAGGAGAGCACGCCTTTCCCAGAATGACCCAGGCCACTGGGTGGAGAGAACTAGCTCATGTTTTCTCTGCATTTCCCTCCAAGTATGGATTTCCATGAACTGCCTCACTTATCCTTAGCCCATTTTTTTTTCTTCTTTCCTTTTTTTTGAAACTGAGTCTTGCTATGTAGCCCAGGCTGGACTTGAACTCCTGATCCTCCTGCTTCCTTCTCCCCAGTGCTGGGATTATGGGCATGCACCACCACACCCAGCTCTCTTGGTACATTTTTCTAATGTCTGTTCATCTTCTTCTTGTCAATTATAAAAGTACTTTGTGAGCTGGAGTTGTAGCTCAGTGTGGGATGTAGCTCGGTGGTGCAGTGCTTGCCTAGCATGTGCAAGGCCCTGGGTTTGATCCCAGCACCAAAAGAAAAAAAAATTGCTGTGCTCAGTGGCTTATGCCTGTAATCCTAGCTACCTGGGAGGAGGTGATTGTGAGCATCACAATTTGAGCCCAGTTCAGGCAAAAAGTTCTTAAGACCCCTTCTCAACCAATGGCTGAAAGTGGTGGCTTTGTCATCCCAGCTAAACAGCAGAAATAGGAGGATCAAGGTCCAGGCTGGCCAGGGCATTAAGTGAGACTCTAAGTCAAAAATGACCAACACGAAAGGTGGTGAGGGTGGCTCAAGTGTAGAGGAATTCAATCTCCCAGTAGCACCAAAATAATAATAAAAGTATTTGTGACCCACTTATAGCCTATGATGATAATTCTAGCTACTCAGGAGGAAAAATGAGACCCTACTATTAGCAGTTAGCCATGAGTGATGGGGATATGCAAAGAGAACCTAAAATGCATGATTCTTCAAGGTCTGTGAAAGAAAAACATCATATTTAAACTTTCCAATTCCTTTGAGGTTTGAACTCAGGGCCTTGTGCTTGCCAAGTAGGCACTCTACCACTTGAACCACTCCACCAGCCCAAACTTTCCAGTTTTTTGGTTTTTTTTAATATCTTCTCTTGTACTTATTTCGTTATTTTTTGGTAGTACTGGGGTTTGAACTCAGGGCCTCACACTTGCTATGCAGGCACTCTACTGCCTTCAGCCAACTCCAGCCCCTTTTTGTGTTGAGTTTTCTCAAGATAGGGTCTTGAGAACTATTTGCCTGAGGCTTAGCTAGGATTATAGGCGTGAGCCAAAAGATGACTGGCTCAATTTTTTTTTTTTCTTTTTGCGGCATTGGGGTTTGAACTCAGGGCCTCACGTTTGCTAGGCAGGTGTTCTCATCGCTGGAGCCACTCCGCCAGCCCTAACTTTCCAGTTCTTAACAGTCTCTATTAAGATCAAAATAACCCACCAAACCCACCAATGTCATGGGATGTCAAAAGACGTTTTTGAGTCTCCTACCCACCCGAAGGTGGGTAGACATCAAACGGTTCCTAGAACAATTAACAAAACAAAGACCTAGGCCTGTAAACCACACCACAGGGATCAGGTGAGCCCAGTCATCTAGTACTGTGACTTGTGGATCCGCTAAGTGACACTACCTAGCCTCATGACTATAGTTGTTACTGGCATGTAGCTGGTTTGAGAGGGGACTTGTGCTCCGGCCCCTTCATCACTAATAAACTTGTAGTCACCAGCAAAACAATGTCCCCTCTCTACTTCCTTCTGATGACCTTGCTTTTACCCCCTGAAGTGTCAATTATTCTAATAAACTTTTACTTTCACTACATTTCCTTGTCTTGCCTGAATTATTCTCTCACTGAAGAATTGGAATAGCTGTGCTGACTATCTTACTAAACACGTCTCAAACTAAATCACAGCCGCCTTGACTGGGAGGCTTGCCCTGTATTAGCTACTCAGGAGGCAAAGATTCAGGAGACCGCAGTTTCAAGCAGCCGGCAATGTTTTGAGAGTCTCTATTCGTACAACGTGACGCCACACACACACAAAAGGGCTGATGGAGTGCTCAAGGCATAGACCCTGAGTTCAAACTTCAATACTGAAAAAAAAACAAAAACAAAAACCTATAATTCTATCTACTCAGGAGGCAGAGATCAGGCAGGAGGATCAAAGTTCAAGGCCAGCCCAGGCAAAATGAAAACAAGATCCTATCTCAAAAATACCCAACACATAGCTGGACACTGTGGCTCACACCTGTAATCCTAACTACTCAGGAGGTAGAGATCAGGAGGATCACGACTTTGGGGATGTAGCTCAGTGGCTGTTTGCCCATTACAGCAAAAGAAGAGGAGGAGAAGAAAGAGGAGGAGGAGGAGGAGGAGAAGGAGGAGGAGGAGGAGGAGGAGGAGGGGAGGAGAAAGGAGAAGAAAGGAAAGCATCTGTGTGTCACAGATAACAGTGCTTGGTTCTGTGCTCTGTAGGGCAAGGATTTTTTCTAGATCTGGAGACTCCTTTGGTGTAAGGTGGGAAGCCCTGCTTGTCCACATTCCTGACTTAACTGGGTTCCTTTCTCTTTGCCTCTGACCTGCTACTGTCTTTCCCCAGAGCTGGTGGACTTACAGTGCTGGCCCTCTGACCCTTGAGCTATACGCTGCAACTCTGATTAGAAACAAATACAGACATGGAGCCAGACGCCAGTGGCTCACACCTGTAATTCCAACTACTTGGGAAGCTAAGATCGGGAGGATTGCAGTTTGAGGCCAGCCTAGGCAAATAGTTCTTGAGACCTCATCTCTAAAATAACCAGACCAAAACTGACTGGAGATGTGGCTCAAGAAGTAGAGTGACTGCTATCCAAGCCTGAAACTCTGAGTTCAAACCCCAGACCAAAAAAAGAGAAAAAAACCCCAAACAAAAAGTACCCCACCTTGTTCCTACTTTTAGCCAGGTGTGGTGACTCATGTCTGCAATCCCAGCTACTCCTGAGTTGGAGGCAGGAGGATCTGAGTTCAAGACCAGGCCAGAGGCAGGTAGCTAGACCTTGTCTCAAAAACCAAATGAAAAGTGGTAGGATTCTTGTGCACCGTGCTCAAGGCGCTGGGTAATCCTTAGTACAACAACAAAAACAAAAAAACATTTCTACTTTTTATTTTGTTTTCAGTTCTGATATTTTTTGGATGGATAATATGTCATATCATTCAAATAG